ATGGAGTTGGAGGCCACGCAGGTGTAATTGCCACTGTCGACCTGGTTGGCGGAGGGTATGATCAGCTCTGACAGAGCAGCGTCTTCTGCGGTAGAAGAGGTCAGTACTGGATAAAGAAAAGAGCAAAACAGCTGTGCATATCCCTGGCAGACAGCTGGAGAGTGTCCAGCAAGGCCAGTTTTTTGTTAAAAGGAGATGGTATCCACATACAAAGCTTGTACCTTAGTACAAGTGCCAGAAGTTTGCCTACCAGCAACCCTGTAAGGTAAGTAACTGAGTTTTACACATAGGATGTTGAGAATTGGAGCAATCAGCCAACTTGCCTGGAGTGGGAGGTCTTCAGAAATGACAACTGATGGCTCGGCGCCTGTGGCTCAAGTGGCTAAGGTGCCAGCCACAAACACCTAAGGTGATGGGTTTGAATCCAGCCTGGGCCCGCCAAACAACAATGACGGCCACAACCAAAAAATAGCCTGGTGTTGTGGTGGGCACCTGTGGTCCCAGCTACTTGGGAGGCTGAGGCATGATACTTTCTTGAGCCCAGGAGTTGGAGGTTGCTATGAGCTATAATGCCACAGCACTCTACCCAGGAGGCTAGCTTAACGCTCTGTCTCAAAAAAAAACACAAAATGACAATTGATCTGGGACCTTGCCTTCTATTTATGAAGACCTCACTCTTTCAACCTCACTAGCTGCTCCCACCACACCACCGTGGCCTTGCTGAACTATGGCTTTCAGGTGATTTCTTGAAACTGTGTGATTGTGCAATGTTAGGAGCTGCAAGAAATATCTTCTTATTTTCCAGATGTGCCCCAGAGCCTAGAGCCAATGGCCTGAATTTCTATTCCTTACTAAATATGTGGTCCCAGGCAAGTTGCTTAAAGTCTCTCTCTCTCTTTTTGAACTCACCACCCCTGGTGTGCAAGCTCAGCATTCTAACCACTGAGCTACAGTGGCCAGCTTGCTTAAATTCTTTTGGCATCAATTTGCCAATAAAATGGGACAATAATAGCATTCACCACATAAGGCTGACAGTACGGGTCCAGTAAGTCTAAGCTTCTATTATTACTGAAAGAATGGATGTAACACAGTGCCAAAGAGTGAGTACAGAAGTGTTCAAAGAGGCTACAACCGTACAGTCTATGTTTCCACTTCATTGGTATTGAAACCGCAGCCAGTAAAGTATGATCAAAATGCTGGGGAAAAGAGAACAGTTCAGTTAATTGGGTATTTTATTAAGAATCCATATTTATGTTTCCATGTATAACAAAAATCTGGGCAACTGAGTTCATTTCTCAGGTTTTACCCACACATTACTAGTTGTCTTCTAGACAGAGCAAGCACAGGGGAAGATGTGGAAATCTACAAAGATCCTTTCAGCTTCAAGATACCTCTGGGGAAGCCATTCCTGGTTTTGTGACATGTCCATCTCCATAGAGTGGCATTAAAGGTGATTACAGACAGAGCAAGGAGCTCCAGGAAAAGAAAGACAAATTTTAATCCCAGTCCTGGGGCCCACAAGGTCACTTCCTCTCCCCAGATCCCAGTATTACAGCTTCAAGGCAAAAAGTTCTTATCAATCTTATTTCAAACAAGCACCCCAGGTGATTCTGCTCAGGCAAGTTTTGGAGATAAGTTAAGTAATAGATCATCTCTAGAATCAATCCTAATGAGAAATTCTATAATCCTATAATTCATAGTATAGTATTTTGCATATAGAAGACTCTCAAAGAATATATCTGTTCATACACAATTTTATAATATCTATGCAAGATGTTAAATCAACTCCAATCTATGTATTAACATTTACATATGTATGTATGCCCTCAAGAGATCTGTACATAACCATTTAAAACAATGCTGTTAGTGGGATGCTATCTTGGAATCTTTTCTGTTTTGGCGAGTATAATTCATGTCTATCCAATCTTACCTGAACCATCATTCATGCTGACCCACTTGAGAACCTTCCTAACGAGAATAGGGTTGCTGTAGACCAATTTGTTCCACCTTAGATATGCTGAGAGGGTGCATGATACTTACCATCAAATTCTCTCCACATGCTCAGAGGATAAGTCCATGCAATAGTTGGTGAAGGGCTGGCCTGTGCCAAGCATCGCAGGGTCACATTCTTTCCCACCCAGATGGTGACATTGGCACTGGGGGTTGAGATCTGTGGCTTCATGCAAGCCCTGAGCTCAGTTTCATGAAAAAGCTGCCCCGCCTTGGGGAGAGGGCCTTGGCATATCAGGTAGGAATTCACCAGGATGACTGGGAGGGCAATGGACTTGACAAACTGGACCAGTCCCCTTAGGCGACAGTCACATACCCAGGGATTGTTGTGCAGCGCCACCACCAGGCTAGAGAGAATCTCAGCCCCACATCCAGCCTGCCGGCGTTTCTGGTAAGCTGGCCAGTTCAGGAAGACACTCTTGGACACAACTGTAAGTCTATTGGAGGATAGGTCAAGGTAGGTCAGGTTGACCAAGAACTGAAGAGCCAGCTCAGGGAGTACATCGATCATGTTGTGTTTGAGATCCAAGACCCTCAGCTGAGGCGTGGCGCGGAACGCTGTCCATGGTACTGAACGGAGTTTGTTCCCCTCCAGTCTTAGCTCTCTCAGGGCTGGCAGGTGCTCCAGGGCTCCTAAGTGGATCACAGTGACATTGTTAAAGTTGAGCCAAAGGTATTCCAAGGTGCTCATGTTGATAAAAAACCCTCGGGGCAGCTCAAATAAGGGCGAGTTTTCGATTCTCACTTGCTTGAACTCTTCAGGAAGGTTCCCTGGGATCTTTCCTAAAGATATAGAAACACACTGCAGAGTCCTGTACAAGAAACCAAAAAGAGCTTTAAGATAAATATCAGGGATTTGGAAAGTGGGATTAGGTTTATCCAGGCTTTAAATGTGTGAATTAGAAGGAAAAAATCTTATTCACTTGAAATAAAAGAGTTGACCTATTTTAGTAAAAATGCACAGTTTAGCAAAGTACAGAACTGACTAGAATGAGTCTCATAGAGATTTTGCTGATTTCCTGCCAGCTGTAGGTCTGGTTCTACTCCATATCATCCCCCAGAATGCCCATCCCCTGTAACCCTTGGACATCGTGCCAACACAGCGCACCTGCCAAAAGTCTCCTCTGAGCAGGTACATCCTGGCAGGCAGGAAGGCTGAGCGGCATATATATCCAGACAGGCCAGAATTAATGGGAAATAGTAGAAACTTGAAGCCATATTCTTCTGCAAGAAAATACTCTCTGAGTTTTGAATAAGTATAGTCCCAGCTTCCGAGTGGCAAATCCTATTATTGGTAATCCTTGGTGATGTAGGTCGGTACCGCAGTGGCAAAGTCCCCGTGAACTCTGAGGTCTGTTATAGCCTAGATCACAGGCTCAGGCAGCACCTACGAAGAGCAAACAATCTCTCTTAACTAAGAATTTACCATCTGTCTAGTTCTTGAGTCTGGAAAGCAAACTTTAAGTCAGGTATCCACTTCCATACTGGAATTTCCTCAGTCTTTTATAAAGAAGTCTAAAGAAAAAAAAGAAAGGAAAAGAAAATAGTGACCAATTCTCACATAAATTGGATTTAATTTTGACCCAAGTACATTATTTAAACATTAATTTTTAATTCAACCTGGTAATATGTTGTTTAGGATATTGTATCCTCATTTATAAGTAAAACATATTTGTAATTTCCCCTTATAATAATATACTTTCTCCAACTTTAATATCAGGTGTATCCAGATTAAGTAGAATGATTTTGAAGTATTTCTTCTTTTTTTGTTGTCTATAAGATTTGGCATGATCTGGCTCAGTGCCTGTGGCTCAAGTGGCTGAGGCGCCAGCCACGTACACCCAAGGTGGTGGGTTCAAATCCAGCCCAGGCCCACCAAACAACAATGACAGCTGCAACCAAAAAATAGCCAGGCGTTGTGGTAGGTGCCTGTGGTCCCAGCTACTCGGGAGGCTGAGGCAGGAGACTCGCTTGAGCCCAGGAGTTGGAGGATGCTGTGAGCTGTGATGCCACGGCACTCTACCCAGGGGGACAGCTTAAGGCCCCTGTCTCAAAAAAAAAAAAAAACAAATAAACAAATTAAAAAAAGATTTGGCATGATCTGCTTTTGAAATTATATTTTACTTTTATTTATAAATATTAGTTGTTTATTTTTTGAGACTTTGGAAAAAAAATAAAAAGAACTTAACTGAAGACTCCATACTGAACCTCAGAGTCAAAGCATTCTATAATAGACATACTCTTATTTGACAACGTGAATGCTACTTTCTTTGCATTATTATATGATTATCGCTTAATATTTTGATGCAGCAATCATCTGATTTTTTTTCTGAATGTATTTATCTTCATTTGTTCTTTATGAGGTTTTATTTCTACTTCTTATCTTAAACATTGTTATTGTTATTACATTTTAAGCCTTTTTAATTTTGTGAAGGCAAAAAGTGGAACCTCATAAACACATGTATGTGTAAAAAAAAAGAAGTCTAAAAAACAAGCGGATAATGCTATTCTGAGCATCCTTGTTCGTATTTAGTCAGAGTCCATCTAATACTTCAATACATTCACAATTCGTTCCTAAAGCCTATAATTTCCAACCATTTTCTCAAAAGTGAAAATAGAAGTGATTAACAAAGTAATTTTGTGCTCACTCCTGCTATTTGTTCTTTCCCCAGCACTTTGGGTGGTGTAGTCCTACTTCAACTACATCAGGACAGGTGTACCTGTGGCTTGGATGACTGCAGTCCGAGAAGAACCTTGATGCAGTTTCAAACACAAGATGGTGTTTTCTCCTTAAACCAAAGATTTTTTCTTTCCTTGGACTTCACGATCTTTCCTGAATTGTGTGCATTTTGCATCATCAGAATGAAAGTGATATATATAATTTTTTGGGTGGCACCTGTGGCTCAGTGGATAGGGCACTGGCCCCATATACCGAGGGTGATGGGTTCAAACCTGGCCCTGGCCAAACTGCAACAAAAAAATAGCCGGGCGTTGTGTCGGGTGCGTGTAGACCCAGCTACTCAGGAAGCTGAGGCAAAAGAATCGCCCAAGCCCAGGAGTTGGAGGTTGCTGTGATCTGCGTGAAGCCACGGCACCCCACTGAGGGCAATAAAGTGAGACTCTGTCTCTACAAAATAAATAAATAAAAAGAAAGTGATATATATGATTTTAGATACTTTCTCTTCTCCTCTTTATTCATTCCATAAATATTTATTGGTCATTAGCTCCAAGCTACACCCTTGCTAAATAAAAAGAATGGGGTAGGGAGACAAAACTGTTATAAACCCTTTCCCATGGAGTCCTCTCTTCTTATGCTTCGGAATGTTGAGGTCTTTGGAATGTTATTTAATCTTTGTGAGTCTCCCCTGCAAAGTCAGACTATTAATAAAAACCTCATAGTGTTTCTAGGAAATTTTGAGATTATGTTACATTCAGCAACTAGTATATAGTTCATGTCCATTAAGTTACCTCCCATCAATAGACCCAACAGACTTTTGAAGAGCAGAAAAGTCTATACATCTCCATTAATTGGGAGAACTTCCAGATGAACACTGAAATTTCATGGGCTCCTGTAAGATGCATGATATACACTGTACCCTACAAAAGGCCTCAGCAATGAAAATCCTCTTAGTAGCTAACCAGTGAGGGGAAATGGGTCACCAACTAAGCTGATTACACTTCAGGCTTTCCACCCAAGCCAGATAAATTTGCTGGAATTTCCAGACAGTCTAACTCTAAAATATGGATAGATCTCTGGAGCTCCTATCAAAGTAAAAATCCAAAATAAGGAGGGCACTTGGGCACAAAGTCTGTGGTACACAAGGAGACAGGCTGCCTAGATCACCCTTCAAGGAATGAGTTGATGTTGAGCTACAAGGAACGATTGCACAAGGTCGTGCCCTTCCCAGGGCAGCCCACAGCCAGTGACTGCAGGTTGTGAGTACCTGGCCTATTTGGCCTGATGGGGTCAACCCTGATGAGCAATTCTCACTCCAGAGTATCCTACTGAATTTGCCACAACTGTGTCACGCTTGCTCTCTGGAAGTATGTGATTCAATGCATGGGTGTCCTAAATCACGAGTGGATTTCTTTCTCTCCCCATGTCCCAAAATATAAAGACTTAAAGAGTTTCCCATTCTCTATAATTTCCTCTCTGGCCATCCCATGCCAGCCTTTTCAAATGAATTTAGCTGCACCCAACTTTCCAGAAGTTTTCTATACACTCCTTGAGAACTATCTAGGCCACTTCTCCCTTGCCCTTTCTCTTCCCCTGACCGCCTCATCCTCTGGTTTTCTTATTTGGCAAATGGGCATAGGGAGTGGCTCTGCTGAGAGTTAAAACAGGACACTAGGACAATTAAAGTTAGCTTGAAGGCAAGATACTTATCTTAACTTGTGGTTAAATGTAATCCCTAAACTTAAGAGATCCTGCCAACCAAGGAGAGGGAGTCTGAAAGTATTACAACTCCATCTTCTCTCCAGCAACATGAGTTCTTTGTCGAGACAGTGATAATGGGAGTAGATTTACTCCGTGCTTCTGAAATAGATACCAATGGCTGTGCAGCAGCAGCTCCCTGGCTTGTCTTAATAGGATCTTATCTATTCAATGGGGGTATACTGTCACCTCTACAATATTAGTGGAACTTTGCGTTAGCTCAGATGGAGAACTGGGCAACCTACCAGGTACCAGACATGCTTTCCTTCCTTTCTCTCAAGCTAGCGCTCCTTCCCACCCTGTCCATCTGCAGCCAGCCACGTCTGAGACTGTCTCCTTGGTTACCCACGCTCTGTGGTGTGCCTGTGGTAGACACATTTCAAAGCTTCTTGGAAATATGTGGGCCAGTGACTCATGTTCTGGCTGGTGAAATGTTGGAGGAAGTGTTGAAAAGCCCCAACATGATCCTCCAGTTTCTCTTGTTCCCTGTGGGGGCAGCTGTTGACATTCTAGATGGTGGAGCCTCCACCAGCCTGAGCCCTTGAGTAAATAAGTGAGGCAGAGCCCCTCCCCCACACACCACACTTCCCACTGACTCCAGTAGACGCGGTGGTGGCAGGGATACATTTTTATGTGTTAAGCCATTGAAACTGGGGCATAGTTACCACAGCACAAGCTTAAACTATCCTGACTACAATGCCCTTGAAACTAGCCAAATACGCAGAAGTACTCGTAAGTTGTGTTTTGTCTTTGCTAGAATTATACTTCAGTTGAAACAAAACTTTCCAGCTCAGTCCTCTGGAGGACTACTGCTGGAGTACCTTGATTGACAGCCTAGATTTGATAACCCACATTCACTTGCCAGGATCCAATTTCTATCATTTGTCTTTTTGTACCCTACAGCTTAAACAGGAAACTCTGTGCCTACTCAAGGGGAATATAACCAGCTAGGTGCAGTGGCTCACACCTATAATCCCAGGACTCTGGGAGGCCAAGGTGGGTGGATTGCCTGAGCTCACAGGTTCGAGATCAGCCTGAGCCAGAGAGAGACTTCATTTCTAAAAATAGCTGGGCATTGTGGTGGGTGCCTATAGTCCCAGCTACTTGGGAGCTGAGGCAAGAAAATCACTTCAGCCTGGGAGTTTGAGGTTGCTGTGAGCTAAGATGCCATGGCACTCTACCAAGGGTAACAAATTGAGACTCTGTTTAAAAAATACAAACACACACACACACATATATATATGGTTATATATATATAAACCATGTTGTAGTCAGAAAAAGACATGATGGAGATTCTGTGATTCTAACCAACCTCCAAGGTTGGTTGATTCCAACCAACTAGGCTTCCAAGGTCAGCATACTATAGGACCACCATAGCACAGGCTGATCTTCAGCACTAGAAGGCCCCAAATTATTTTTCCTGAGGGAAGTCTATTTTTAGGGAATGACTCATAGTAACCAGATTCATATTCTAAAAGATTAATATATAAACCAGACTCCATTTTATTGTTTTACAATGGCAATTTGTTTTTTCCAATGATTTGAATATTCGTGAGCACAATTCAGTATGATTCTTCCCTAAAAGAACAAACCAGAGAAGACAGAACACACAAAGGAAGGTTGACAGAGGGGTCTTGGGCATTTGGGTACCGGACGGCTAAACATCGTGAGGCCTTTCTGTGTAGACTGTGAAGATAAGCCTTAATGTGTCATTGCAAAGTTTGAATTTTCCCTCTCTCTTTTTCTGTCAGTGAGAGATACAGACTAACAAATTCTTGCATTC